TCTGATAACCCACCCACGAGCCCAAGGGGATTGGTGGGAGAATAATTCATTCTGCTGTTTATCAGACCCTGTGACATCAACAGTACCCATTTTAATGACTCCTGTCTTGCTTACGTTCACCTGTAGAACATGTTCCTGCTAAAAAGCACCCCGGCCAGGAGGCTAATTCCAAACTTCAGAAGTTCAGTGCAACTGCTCAGGTCACCCTTCCCAAAACAAAAACATCCTGGAGCTGTGATTTTCCCAAGAACGCAACAACACCTGTTCTCCAAGCTCTGCATTTTAAAAGGTTTTTTAGAACTCACTTGTGACTGCATAGCTTCACTTTAACAGATACAAGAAAAACCAACCAAGAGTCGAGGGACTGCCTGTGGTCACAACGAGCAGCCCGGCAGCACCGCCTGAGGCTGTGATTCATTCACACAACTCACACCACAACACAGCACACACAGGGTACCTTCTAGGACCTGACCTTCCATATTAGGAATGAAACTCGGGTGTAGCAGAGTGGTCCCAGCTGTATCCTTATAAGAGTGTTTGTCTGTCGACTGAGTTTATACACACACATGGTGTCGTCCGTGTGGTGTGTGTTGTGCAACGACGAGAAGAAATAAAGAAAGGTTATGATGAATGACCAGTTTGAACCAGAAGACACTCGTATTAGGATGTACAGGCCCCCATATCGTTTATGTTATTTTGACATCATTCCAGGAACATTCAGCGTCATGCAGTTCAACTGCGATATGACAATGAGCGTCAACTCCTCCAGTAGACCTTTTTTCACGCAGCATTTATGAGTATGAACACAGAAGGTAAACACAGGTTGCATGACCGTGCCATGAATACCTCAATAAGCTTCTGTTCCATTCAGGTCAAACTGGAAACGGGTTCTGCTACACTCAAACTGGAACCAGAACCTTAGTGTCAGCCAGTAACACCTGTGTTTACCCTTAATATTTTCATGATCCAAATGGCTGTGAAGAAGGTAAATAAGTGTCCGCCTTATGCCCTACTTCTACATCGAAACAACTGTTTAGTGCAGTGTGAGCCAATGGGCCTTAACGAACATGGCTGGAGTTTCCTTGTCGACCACCCTAGTTTGCTCACTGGTCACAATACAAGCCTAGTATGATACATAAAACATTTTATAGAACATAAAACTGGCAAGGAAGTGTTGTTTTAATCAACATAATGACACAATGTTTAAAATGCATGTTTCTGCAAGCCTGTTTCACTGATAACTTTATGTCACTGTTATTCCGTGTGAAACTAAAGCATGATCACCCTGTTTACTGTTACACTAAGCCTTGGTTACCAAGCTGCAATAATCCAAATTCCCTTATATACACAAGTGGTTTAAATGACTATGTACATCTCTCTCAAACAAACAAACCGCGCGAGGCGGCGGCTGCCGCGCGCGGGATCAAATCACGGGGGCACGTCATGGCATGGGGTCGGGGG